CATCAGAAGAAAGAAAAGAACAGATTTTACTGTGGAGTGTTTTGTGCAAGAACCATCCATAATAATCTTTAAAAATCTACCAGAGACTTTTGGACTCTGGCCCCACATATACGGAGCTTAGCAGTTGCTACTCCTACCGAGCAACCAGAAAGCTGAACAAACTGAAAAACGAGCAACTCTTCTTAAATCTGTGAGAGAAGTGAGATTACAGGGCAAATTGCTGCCCCCAAAATTGGATACAGAGAACACCACTTGCCAGAGCAGGGACTCAGGAGCAGACACCTCCACAGGGACCAGTGCTAGAGGAGGAAACCCAAACTGTAATTGACGAATTGCTGGAGGCTCAGTGTGGATAAGTGTGAGAGTTAACAACTCCAGGGACACCCACGAAGGGGGGATGCCCCACACTTCTGTGGTTTCACCTCCTGGAGCTCTACCAGGTTCTCACAGTGAATATCAGAGGAAAATGTGATCATGCTTCCAGCAAGAGGAAGGGAAAAGGAACCACTTAGGAATATCAGGAGAAACTATTTAACCAGAGCCTAACTGACCTGAGGGAAAAGAAATACCGGATTTCAGTCTCCTTCAACCACCCTGTCTCACCTAAACTGGGGGTGGGGGGAGGTCAGAGAAGTACTTGTAAAGTTCACAGGCCAGAGACATGGACTCATTGAAAAGGGGAAACCTAATCACAGAACTGTACAATGCTCCCCCTTCCCCCATGACTAGAGGCCTGTATATAGCATTTTATCCAGAATACCATGTCTAGCTATCAGAAAAAAAAAAAAAATTACAAGGCATACTAAAAGGCAAAAAAACACAAATTGAAGAGACAGGGCTAGCATCAGAATCAGACTCAGATACAGCAGGAATGTTGAAATTATCAGACTGAGTATTTGAAACAACTAAGGGCTTTGATGGTAAAGTAGATAGCATGCAAGAATAGATGACCAATATAAGCAGAGAGATGAACATCCTAAGAAAGAAATACAAAGATGTTAGAGACCAAAAATAGCATAACAGAAATGAAGAATATCTTTGATGGGCTCATTAGTAAACAACACACCTGAAGAAAGAATCTCTGAGCATACGGATATCTCAACAGAAACCTCCAAAACTGAAAAGCAAAGAGAAAAAAGACAAGAAAAAATAAAAACAGAATATCCAAGAAATGCAGGACAACTACATAATGTGGAACATACACATAAAAAGAATACCAGATGGAGAACAAAGAAAAGAATATAAAAAATATATTTGAAGCAATAATGACTGAGAATTTCCCCCAAATTAATATCAAGTACCAAACCACAAATCTAGGAAACTCAGAAAACACCAAGTAGGATAAATGCAAAACAAAACAAAAAAAAATTTAAGGTAGGCATATTACTTTCAAATCACAGAAAATCAAAGATCAAGAAAAAATTCTGAAAGAAGCCAAAGTTGGGGGAGAAGAGTGACATTTCCTATAGAGGAAAGCAAAGATAAGAATTATATCTGACTTTTCTTCGAAACCATGCAAGCAAGAAGAAAGTAGAGTGAAATATTTCAGTTGTTAAGAGAAAAGATACCAATCTAGAATTCTGTACTCTGTGGGATTATACTTCAAAAGTGAAGGAGATATAAATACTTTCTCAAACAAAAATTGAGGGAATCTGTTGCCAGTATACTGGCCTTGCAAGAAATGTTCAAATAAGTTCTTTTTAAAATTTGTAAAAAATTGTTTTAAAAAATGTATTTTTAATCCACAAATAATTGTATGCATTTATGAAATGAAATGTAATGTTTTGATCTATGTATACATCGTAGAAAGATTCAGTCAAGCTAGTTAATGTATCCATTGCCTCACCAACTTATCATTTTTTTGTGTGGTGAGACTGTTAAAAATTTGTTTTGCAATTTTTGAAATACACAATCCATTATTACTAACTGTGATCACCATGCAGTGCAATAGGAACTTATTCCTCCAATCTAACTGAGACCTTGTAACACTTTAATCAACATCGTCCCTTTCCCATCCTTCCCACTCCCCTCAGCCTCTGGAAATCACTTTTTTACTGTCTGCTTCTACCACAGCAATTGTTTTATATTTCACATATAAGTGAGATCATGTAGTTATTTGTCTTTCTGTGCCTGGCTTATTTCAGTTAGGATAACATCCTCCAGGTTCCACCCACGTTGTCGTAAATGACAGAATTTCCTTCTTTTTAAAAGCTGTGTAGTATTCTATTGTCTGTATATACCACATTTTTTAATCCATTCATCTGTTGATGGACACTTAGGCTACTTCCATATCTTGGCTATTGTGAATAATGCTGAAATGAACATGGGAGTGCAGAAATACCTCTTTCAATTCCTTTGGATATATACCCAGAAGTGAGATTACTGCATCATACAGTAATTCTATTTTCAAGGATAGTCTGGTACACTGTTGGTGGGAATATAAATTAGTACAGCCATTTTGGAAAACAGTATGGAGGTGCCTCAAAAAAAATAAATAACTTCTTTAGAAAGAAGGAGATTGACATACTTTAAAACTTAGATCTACATAAAGAAATGAACAGCATCAGAGAAAGAATAAGTAAAGGTAAAATAAAAACTTCTTCTTCTTATCCTCAATTGATCTAACAGTTAATAGTTTGTTCAAAATAATAGCAATAAAGTATTTATTTATGCTTATGTGACTATATACACAAACATACATGAACTTATATATACTTAAGTATAAGTGAAATGAATGACACCGATGATACAATGGATAGATGAGAAGAAGTAGGATTATTTATTATAAGGTACTCACTCAGACTACGATTAGGCAGTATAGTGTTATTTGAAAGTAGACCTGGACTATTTGTCAATGCATATAGCAAATCTAGGGCAATCGTTAAAAAAAACTTAAAAAAAAAAGAACTGTAACTGATATGCTAAGAAAGGAGAGAATATGGAATCACTTAAAATGCTCAATTAAAACCCACAAAAGGCAGAAAAAGCATGGAAGATAAAAATAGGAATAAAGATAAGGAGAAAAATAAAAAATAGTAACAAATTATAGATATTAATACAACTATCAATATATCAATAATCACTGTGTTTTTTGTTTGCTTTGGGGGGATTTTTTTATTTTTCAAAATTATTATGGGTACATAATAGTTGTATACCTTTATATAATACATGTGATGTTTTGATACAGGCATACAGTATACATTAATCAAATTAGGGTAATCTATCACCTAAGGCATTTGTCATTTCTTTGTGTTAGGAACATTCCAATTCCACTCTTTTAGTTATATTAAAGTATACCCTAACTTATTGTTGAGTATAGTCACTTTGTTGTGCTATCAAATATTGTTATTCTATCTAATTATCTAACTATATTTTTATACCCATTAATAATCACTTTGAATGTTTATGGTCTAAATGTACCAACTGAAAGACAAAGATTATCAGAGTGGATTGAAAAACAAGGACCAACAATGTGTTTTCTACAAAAAGATCTCACTTTAAATATAAAGACATATATAGATTAAAAGTAAATGGACAGAGAAAGATATAACATGCAAACACTAACCAAAAGAAAGCAATATTAGCTATATCAATTTCAGACAGAGCAGAATTCAGAACAAAGAATGCTATTAAGGATAAAGAGGGCATTACATAATGATAAAGAGGTCAATTCTCCAAAAGGACATATCAATCCTTAAATGTATGCAGCACCTAACAACAGAGTGCCAAAATATGAGAGACAAAAACTGATGAAATTTCAAGGAGAAATAGAAAAATTCATTATTATAGTTGAAGACTTCAACGCCACTATAGCAGAAAGGGAAAGATCCAACAGGAACAAAATCAGTAAGGGTGTAGTTGAACTCAACAATACTGTCAATTAACTGGATATAATGGGCATCTATAGACTACTTCATCCAGCGACAGCAGAATGTACACTCCTGTCAATCTCACATGGAACATTTGCTAAGATAGACCACATTCTAGGCCATAAAACACAGTTCAATAAATTTAAAAGAACAGAAGTCATACGATGTCTCCTCTCAGACCACGATAAAATTAAACTAGAAAAATCAATAGCAGAAAGATAGCTGGAAAATCCTCCAAATACTTGGAGATTAAACAACATACTTCTAAATAACACTAGGATCAAAAAAGTGATCACAAGAAAAATTTTAAATATTTTGACCTAAATAAAAATGAAAACACAATTTATCATTTATTGAGATGCAGTGAAAATAATTTTTAGGAGGAAATTTATAGCACTGCATGCACATATTAGAAAAGTACCAAAAATCAATCATCTAAGTTTTCACCTAAGGAAACTAGAAAAAGAAGTTCAAATTAAATCCAAAGTAAGTGGAAGAAAAGAAATAATAAAAATTAAAGCAAAAATTCAGAAAACCAATAGAGAAAATCAACAGAACCAAAAGCTGGTTCTCTAAAAAGATAAATAAGATCAATAAGTCTCTAGCCGGCCTAAGGAAAAATAAAAGAGGATACAAATAATTAATATCATAAATAAAAGAAAGGATATCACTAATGAGATCATGAACATTTAAAAGATCATAAGAGACTACTATGAATAACTCTACACCCACAAATTTTGTAACCCAGGTGAAATAGACCAATTCCTTGAAAGACACAATCTGTAAAAAAAAGAAACATACAAGCTGATTAGGCCCATATCTATTATGGAAATTGAATCAATAATTAGTAACCTTTCAAAAAAGAAAGCCCAGACCCACATGGATTCACAAGTGAACTCTACCAAACATTTAAGGAAGATATACCAATACTCTATAATCTCTTTCAGAAGACAGAAGCCGATGAAACACTTCCTAACTCATTCTTTGAGGCCAGTATCACCTTAATACAAAAACCAGACAAAACCATTACAAGAAAACTATAGACCAACATCTCTCATGAACATAAATGCAAAAATTCTCAATAAAATATTAGCAAATCAAATCCACTAATGTATAAAAAGAATTACTCACCATGACCAAGCGGGAGTGATCCCAGGTATGCAAGGCTGGTTTAACATTCCAAAATCAATTATTGTAATCCATCATATCAAGAAGCTAAGGAAGGAAAATCACATGATAATATTAATAGATGCAGATAAAGCATTTGACAAAATTCAACACCCATTCAGGATAAAAACTCTCAGTAAATTAGGAATAAAGAAGAACTTCTTCAACTTGAAAAAGAATATCTACAGAAAATCTGCAGCTAACATCATACTTAATGGTGATAAATTAGAAGCTTTCCCACTAGGATCAGGAACAAGGTAAGATGTCCTTTCTCACCACTGTTTTTCAGCATCATACAGTGAGCTGTGATGACGCCATTGCACTCTAGCCTGGGCAACAGAGCAAGACCCTATCTACAAAAAGAAGAGAAAAGTACCTGATTTTAAAAATGTTCTAAAGACCTTAACAAATATTTCACCCAAGAAGATAAACAAATGGCAAATAAGCATATGAAATGATGCTCAATATTCCATGTCATCAGAGAAATGCAAATTAAAATAACAAAAAGATATACACACACTTAACAGAATGACCAATATCCAGAACACTGACACCACCAAATATGGGCAAGGATGTGGAGCAACAGGAACTCTCTCATTCATTGCTGGTGGAAATGCAAAATGGTGCAGCCACTTTGGAAGACAGTTTGGCAGTTTCTTACAAAATTAAACATATTTTTACCATGAGATCCAGCAATTGTACTCCTTGGCATTTACCCAAAGGAACTGAAAATGTGTGTCCACATAAAAACATGCACATGGATGTTTATAGTAGCTTTATTTACAACAGTCCAACCTTGGAAGCTACAAAGATATCCCTTAGTAGGTGAATGGATAAATAAACTGTGGTACAATGGAATATTATTCAGCACTAACAAGAAATGAGCTATCAAGCCATGAAATGACATGGAGGAAACTTTAAATGCATATTACTAAGTAAAAGAAGCCAGTCTGCACAGACTACTTATTAATGCTTTGTGATTCCAACTATATGACATTCTGGAAAATATGAAACTATAGAGATAGTAAAAAGATCAGTGGTTTCCAAGAGTTAGGGGAGAAGGAAGATATGAATAGGTGGAGCATAGAGGATTTTTAAGACAGTTAAACTACTCCGTATAATATTATAATGGTGCATACCATTATAATGTTACTATACATTTTTCCAAACCCACAGAACCCCAAGAGTGAGACCTATGGACTCTGGGTGATCAGGGTGTATCAATGTAGGCCCACCGGCTATAACAAATGGACGCTCTGGTGGAGGATGTTGCTAATGGAAGAGGGTATCCAGGTGTGAGGATAAAGACATATCAGAAATCTCCATGCCTTCCATCAATTTTGCTGTGAATGTGAAACTTGCTCCCCAAAAAAACTATTAAAAAAATCTATCGAATATCTAAAAAAGAAAACATAATTAGAGCACACTGTAGTGAGTGAGTCTTGCTATGCTGCTGAGAAATCATTCTTGATGGCTCTTCTCCAGCCGTGCTCACAGGTTGGTGACTATTTGTATTTCATTTCACAATTTTTTGAAGAGCCTGGTGAAGACAGTGATAAGGATCCAAACCACCAATGGATCAGACAAGGAACTTCCTACTCCTAATTAAACATCTAGTTTATTCTTTTTGACTGCTATTTCTGATATTACCCAAGCAATTGCAAAACTAAACCCTCATGTAAATAATTGCCAGTGACCTCATATAACCCCTAGGAAGGCTGAAAAGCAACCTCCACTGCCCTTCTCTCTTGGATTATGAACTTCCCTTAACAAAACATGATGCTACTGACCTGCCACTCATCACTGGGATATATTCTCATGCTTACCCAACTACTTATACTGCTGCTTAAGCTTCCTCAGGAGCCTATCTGCCATAGCTGACCATGGTAAAAGGGATAGCAGTGGCCACAGGACAGAATCAAGTTTACAATATAACTATGGATTGAATCCATGATTTGTTCTTGTGAATCCATGAACCAGATGGCTACCCAATAGGTAGACAGGAAAACATTTGACAGTTGCAAAGTATAATCTGGTAGTCTGTGAACAGAATTTAAAATATAGTTTAATTCCATTAATTCTAGTTTTAGGAATAGCTAAGGGCTATTTACTGGTTAGTCCTAAGTGAATTATGAAGGGTTACTAAACATATTTTTAATAATCTAAACTTAGTATATGACCAGATTTTAATAAGGATTTTTTTTCTATATTTTCCTAATATAGCTTAGTGCCAAGCAATGCTTGCCAATGTTCAAAAGCTCCCACTGGGCAGCCCCAAATATAAATATAGAATTCCTACAAATTGTTAGAAAGGGTAGTTAGAAAGGAACCTCACTACTGTTGATTTCAGTTGGTCAAGTATTTTTTTTTTTTTTTTTTGACAGAGTCTTGCTCTGTCACCCAGGCTAGAGTGCAGTGGCATCATCATAGCTCACTGCAACCTCCAACTCCTGGGCTCAAGTGATCCTCCTGCCTCAGTCTCTCAAGTAGCTGGACTACAGGCACATGCCACTACACCTGGCTAATTTTTCTATTTTTAAGAGAGATGGGGTCTCGCTCTTGCTCAGGCTGGTCTCAAACTCCTGAGCTCAAGTGATCCTCCTGCCTTGGCCTCTCAGAATGCTTGGATTTACAGACATGAGCCACTGCAGCTGGCCTGAGTTGGTCAATTTTTTAATTACTGTTAATTTTCCTTTTTAATGATAAATTCCCCTTAGTTTAGCATCTTCATTATGGATTTAGTTTGTGGTGGGTTGTTCGGTTAATAACAACTACTGTTTGAAGGTTTAGTTTAGTTCCAGCCCTAGGCTGAGATCTTTACATGCTCATTTGTTGCTCTTAACACCCCTTTCAGACAGATAATGGTATCATCCTCATTAAGGCATAGAGAAACTAGATAGCTTGCCTAAGATCATACAGCTGGAAACTGCAGAGCCAGGACTTGAACTTATATATCTTCTCTGTAGATCATAGGTCAGCAAGTAATTTCTGTAAAGAGCCAGATACTAAATATTCTCGGCCATAGGGACCCAACTCTGTTGTTGTAGCCCCAAAGCAGCCATAGACACCACATAATCAAATGGGCATGGCTATGTTCCAATAAAACTTTATTTACAAAAACAGGCACTAGGCAGAATTTAGCCTATGGGCCACAGTTTGCTGACTCCTGCTTTAGAGCCCTTACTCTTAACCACTATGCCATTAACATGTGCCCTCTTAGCTTCCAGTGAAACATATACACAGACTTGGGAGACTAAAATGCTCCAATAGCTATAATGAAGCACAAAGGCATTGCGATTTGGATATTAATCATCTTTGTCCTCATTGGTAAGGAAGATATAAGACATATGCCTGTGCAGCATTACATTCATTAATGATGTGAGGAAATTTTGCTTGCTCTTTTCTCAGTTGCAACATGTGATTAAGATGAACATAATATAATAATATTGAATATTGAAATTATTCAATAATATTGAATAATGAACATAATATTTGATTGTACAATAATTTATATTGCAGTGTTCTAGGATGTAAAATGGATGCATAAGATTATTATTTTAAAGTAAGTGTACAATCCACATATTTTGGGTCCCCATGCTTTATATAATCTCATTGGAACACATCCAGTAGGGAGGCCAAGGGATCTTCTCAGCCACCTGGGATGGCTACAGTCCAAAAATGTTTGAGAGACATCAAAGGAATGAGTGAGGGAAGCTTCTGGGGCCTGATCAAATCCAGGAGGTCCCAGATGGCAGGGGCAAGGAACGAGGGCATTTTATATTCAGCAACAGTCCAACACAATCATTCCTATTAAGGACTGAACTATGTTCTCCCCAAATTCATATGTTGAAGTCCTAACCCCCAGGTGACTATATTGGGAGATATGGCCTTCAAGGAGATAATTAAAGTTCAATGAAACCATTAGGTCAGAGCTTGAATCCCATAAGACTGGTGCCCTTCTAAGAACTCTTTCCCTGTGCACACCCAGGGAAAATGCAGCCATCTGCAAGCCAGGAAGAGGGACCTCACCAGAAATCAACCTTCCTGGCACATTGATCTTGGACTTCCAGCCTCCAGAACTGTGAGAAAATAAAAGAGTTTTTTTGTTTAAGCCACCCAGTCTATGGTATTTTATAGCCAGAGCATACTAACACAGTGCCCAATCTTTGAATGTAAAAATTATGAACTTCCACAAGCTATTAGTGGTACATTCACTAACTGTTGCCTGGGATTATACATAAATACACATATACACACAAATAATTAGATGTGGTGAATTCAGTATACTTGTATGTTACTAATCATAACAATATATAAATATCTTTGGAGAAAAAAGTTGTATACATATTTGGGAAATATGATTTTATATAATTGCAGATAGGGCTTGGTACTAAGTCTTCACAGTCAACCCCTTTACAACAGTTACTCCATCGGCCTCTGGCATCCTGGCTCTTTGTGGTGGGAATCATCTATTCCAGCCCCTTTTAATTCTGGGTAAATTAGCACTATCTTGGGCTCTGTCCCTCTTCCATGGCTGCCTACCTTGACAGAGGGCATAGCTCGCCCAGAATAAAATGTGTCAGTCACAGTTTGAGAAAATGATCTAACTGCAGGGATCCCATGAGCCAGGGAAGATTTTAGGCCAGGGAAGAGTCAGGCAGCGATGGGATTAGGAGCTGACCCGTTGCCATTTATCGTATCACACATCAGCCTTATTTGCCTGAGACTGGAAACTCCATGGGAAGCAGAACCAACACCTTCATCTTAAACCTCTTTCTATATCTTTTGTGGAATTTATCACTGTAAGAGATTAATTAGCAGTGTTTAACAGAAGAGATAAGGGTTTCTACACCTGGCTCCTCATCTGTGGGTAACCGAGCCTACCTTGAGCATCTCTGAGGGGTGGGGAGCTGAGGACCTGCATTTTACTACGCTCGCTCGTTCTGTTAATTCTGATGCAGCCATTCGGGTACCATTTCTCAAATTTGCATTTGACAACTGTATTAGATGACAATAACCAATGGCCTCAATTAATAGCTACCCCCATT